AAAAAAAAAAAAAAAAAAAAAAAAAAAAAAAAAAAAAAAAAAAAAAAAAAAAAAGTGTAGATATGTCCGTATCTTAGAAAAAAAAAATCACAAAACAAGCTTTTAATGAAGTACAGGCAAAGGGCTCAAGAGTTTATTCTCTGATTCTGGGTTTGGTGGTCTCTGTCAGAAACCACACATGGAGAACCAGTGCCCTGAAATACCAAGCTTCTCAAGTTCTGCACGTACTTTCATTCACCTCTGAGCCTTTCCCCTTTAAGTCAGGACCACATTCACTGTTTTTCATTCTTTCCTGCATCCCATCCTTCCATGTGAGCTTTATCCTGCCCAAACACGAAACATAGTGTGCACCTGGTGGTGATTATTCACTCATTCTTAGCTTATCAGAAACTGTATTCCACTTTCTTCCTGAGTGCTAATGTTTCTATGTATAGAATTCTAAATAAACAGTCATTTAAGATTTCCTTTGTATTTATTTTTTTCACAGTTCTGGGGATTGAACCTCAGGCCTTGCACATACTTGGCAAGTACTCCCCCAATGAGCTACACTCCTGGCCCTAGTCCTTAGTTTGCTGTGGCTTTATTCTGAGGCTTTGGGTGTTGATTTTTCATTTACCTGCATGCTTGGTTCCATAAGGGGCTCTGACTCTTGGATTCATTTGTTAATCACTTTTGGGAAATTCTCAGTCAGTCATTATCCTCAAATATTTCTGCCCCGACTCTTGTTCATTTCCACATAGTTCAAGGCTAGAATGAACTACATAGCAAGACCCTGTCTCAAAAAAACTAAAAATCAAACATAAAACACTTTTGTCCATTTCCTTCTAAGACTCCAGTTATACCTGGGCTGGTGATGTAGCTCAGTGGAAGGCCCCAGTTCAAACTGTAGCACACAAAAATTTTTGTAAACGGAAGAAAACAGCTAGATGTGCACTTGCTGCCTTGCTGTATGGCTTGTCCCTTGCCTTGTCTTCTGTCTGTGCTGTCTCTCCTGTCTTCAACTCTAATTTTTCCAATGTCTGATCTTTTGCTAAACTCATACAATTCTTTTTGGCTCCTCTTTCTTTTTTACCAACTAGCTAAGTGATTTTTGTTTTTCCAGTTACCTGTTGGCTTTCCCCCTCTTTCTGCATAGTAAACACGGTTATTTTTAAAGACTGGTAGAGCCAGCCTCTGGAGCTCCTGAGGAAGTGTTCACATCGTCTGTTGAGAAGAATTAATATACACAGAATAGCCACACAAACATGCGGAGCAAAAATGTAATAACCCAAAAGTAAACAGCAGGAAAAGCCATTCGGATGAGAGACTACTCCGCCCCTAACAAATCAAGTAGAGAGGCCCTTTTTTAAGCTAACCAACCCGTCATGTTTGCCTAGCACTTTCCCTGTATCTGCAGTAGAAGTCCCACGTCCGGAAAGTCTACTAATCCTGGAGAAATCTGGAGGGTAGGTGCACTGTATTCCAACGCTCCCACTCCAAGCCCCTGCAGCCTCCGGGCGGCCGCCGGGGGCGCTGTGTTGCGCAGGCGCAGCCTGGCAGACGCCCTGACTGCTCCTTCCGCCTTCCCGGCGGGCTCCGCGAGGCGCCTGCGCACCTGGTGACCTTCTAGAGTGAGTGGTGGGTTTGGTCCCGTCCTGGGCCGTTGATCCTACGGAGGTGAGTTCAGGCCCGAACCGGCTGCTGGACTCGCTGCTGCCGGGACTGAAGAGGGCGCGGGCCAAGAAGGTCCGGGAGCGAGGGAACGGGAGGGAGGAGGTCTCCGTCGACCTTGAGTCCAGCCCTCCGGCCGCGCACTGTGCTTCCGCCGGGTCTCGGACCGAAGGAGCTGCGGGAGGAATCCCCGGGGGTTCGCCCCCCACCCGTGAGAGATGCCCGGCTGGTGGCCCCCAAACTGCTAGGTAGTTGCCCGGGGTTCGTCCCGCCGGTGAGATGCCTGGGGCGAGCTCAGCCCCGGGGTCAGTCTTCAGGCCATCCCTCAGCCCAGGGAGGTCTCGGGAGCGCGGCGCTGCGCCTTGGACCAGAGCCTCCGAGTCACGAGGCTTGGACCTCGCTTGATGCTAGTCCAGCCGTGCTTACCTGCGACGGGGTCTGGGGCATATCTCTCCACTTACCCACTTTGGCAAGAGTAAAATAGGGAATAACTATGTCAAGCACTCATTAAATTCGATGTGGGGAACATTCTTGGAGTAAAAAACTATACTTTGACATCCAAGGCCATGAGATCTGCCCCATCTTCCCTCTCGTAGTTAATCCACACTATTTTAAATGACAAGTACTTGATATGAAGACGTGACCGGGAGTGATTCATTTAAGGGCCATAACAGCCCATTGAGGTGGGTACTGTTTTTGTCCCTGTTGCATCGATGAGGTTGCTGGCGCACTGTAAGTTAACTAGTGTCGGGGCCAGGATTTGAATCTAGGCGGGTAGCCCTCCTGGCTTCCCATTCCTCTGCTCTAAATTCCTTCTGACCTCGGAGGCTTGGCACATCAGTGACTGCTGGGGACACACGGGGTATCCGACTGCTCTCTCAGCATCTTGCACATGCTCAGTTCACATTTGCTGAGTGAACAAATGTTACTATCCGGGATTAGAGGTCAGCCATGGACCTTAGACAGGTTGGGGCTTTTGAAGGATCCGGTGCTGTGTGAATCTGTCACGGAGCTAGAGAGTGTGGAAACCCAGAGAGCACTGGAGAGTAGACTCTTGTGTATCCTAAGCAGCAGAGGGCAGAAGTGAGTGAGGCCAGAAACCCATGCAGGCCAAGTGGAGGTCTGAGTGAAATGGGAAGTGCTTGGACCTCCTGACAGCTGGTGGATGGCCACCTTTTATCAGACCAGAAGCTACAAAGCCTTGTTAAGATGAAAGTGAGGGCCAGGCTCAGGAACACATGCCTATAATCCCAATGTTTGGAAGGCTGGGGCAGGAAGATTTTATAGTCAGGTCCAGCCTGGGCCTGAGACCCTGTCTAAAAATAAAAAGGTCTGGAGATCTGGTCAAATTGCAAAAGTAATTCAAAGCATTGAGACCTGAACATAAAAGCAAACCATAAATTCAGAATTTAATGGTTTTCCCATCAAGTCCAGTAATTAAGTTCTTTCACATGTGGGCCTACGTCTTGTGCCATCTGTTTTCTATTTAACAGTGCCCCCCTCCGCCCTTCACTAAGCGACAGCTAGTCAAAGTGCACCCAGGCCCAGGTGTTCATTCCATAAGGAAATTGCCATGCCTGGTTAGCCTCAAATGCAAGCCATTGTCAACATGCTGCTGAAACTCGGGTTTCTACTTCACAGCAGCATGTGTGGTTTTGAGCATAGCATTACTGGACAATTAGCTGGAAAGGGCATCGTAGTATCAGGCCCTGAGATGAGGGAAAGATATGTCATTGAGTGCCAGGGTGGTGGACAAGTTTGAAGCGCTGTGGAGAGCCGTTGAGGCACAGGTGAGGAACAGGATAGGTCCAGCCCATGCGCTGCTCCCTGTCATGGGAAATAGTGTCCAACTGAACAAATGAAATCTCTTACTGGTTAGGTTAAGAACAACAGTCATCTTAATATCTACCACTGTGTTCATTTGCAGATGCTTCAAAGCCTCATTAAAAATGTCTGGGTCCCCTTGAAGCCATACTATACCCAAGTTTACCAGGAGATTTGGGTAGGAATGGGGTTGATGACCTTCATTGTTTATAAAATCAGAAGCGCTGGTAAGTTCCTATGTGTTTGATATATTTGTGGCCAGGAGAAAATTACCATTCATCTGTCAAGGCACTGTGGCTCTTAACTGGACATGTGCATCACAACCACTGTGGTCACTGTGTGCGTCAGCTGTGAAAGGCTTTGTGGACGGGGTGCAGAGCAAGACGGTGGCATCAGGCTATGAGTTGTCCGTGTGATAGAGATATTACACCAACATAGGAGTGTCCTTCATCTTGACATTTGCAGCCTGAAATATCCAAGGGTGTACTGTCATGGGTGTACTGCTTTACTGTGCCTTTTTGCCTCTTCTGAGTATTTGAAATTTCTTCATAACAAAGTTTAGAGAGGAGGAATAGCCGTTGGGTTCTCAGTGGAACAGATAAGGCCCAAGCATGTATTTCAGAGTCATTGATTAAGAGGAGAGAAAAAAGGTGAGACTTGCTGCAGTTGAGGAGATGGGAGGGAGTGAGGAGCCTGCTGCCACTGTCCATAGACCATCTCTGATAGAAACTTTACTGCTCCTTGGCTGTTCAGCCTGAAGTAACTCTGTTATCTTCTGGAAGCTTCCTATAAGTGCAATGCTTTTCCTGAGCTATGTCACCTTCAGCCAAATCTTGATCTTAACAGTGAATCAGGTCAATTACAGGTATTATAAAGCACTGGTATGACACATTTTTCCCTTTTATTTTAGATAAAAGAAGTAAAGCTTTAAAAGGTAAGTTTGCTTCTTGAAATGATCAGAGGGGCCGGAAATTTAGCTCAGTGGTGCTGTAACTGTCTCAAAAGCAGGAGATCCTGCATTCCATCCCTGGTACGGAGGGAGGAGGGGATGTTTGGAAATGAAAAATACCGTTTTATCTTTTTAAGACAGGTTATGTCATTTTTCTCAACTGAAACTGATACACAGTTCAGTGAGCGTATAAAAAACAGTGGAAATATCTGGATGTGAGTTAGTTTGGTATGCCTACTTTACAAGCGAGAAATAATTTTTAGAAAAACCACTGCTTGCCCACTTTATTCAGTAAAACTTTTCAGGAATAAAGAAGGAAGAAAGATAGGGTACCCCAGCACACAGGAGGCTGAGGCAGGAAGATCAAGGATCACCTTGAGTTCAAGACCAGCCTGAACTAATAGTGAGATCCTGTCTCAGAAAACCAAAAAGAAAGAGTAATCAGAATAGCTGATGCCTCCAGTAGGGGAGCACAGGGCAGCCATGTGAGCCTACTGCCCTGTGTTCATGATCATGGGTTTTTTTGTTTGTTTGGTTGGTTGGTTGGTTTTTTGAGACAGAGTCTCACCATGTAGTTGAGACTGACCTGGAACTCACTATGTAGCCCAGGCTGGTCTCGAACTCACAGCGATCCTCCTGCCTCAGCCTCTGAGTGCTGGGATTACAGGTGTGCACCAACCATGCCCAGCCATGATCATGTTTTATTTTGTTTGTTTTGTTTTTTTGTTTGTTTTTGGTACTCAGATTGAACTCAGGACATTGCACTTGCAAGGCAGGTGGCAGCACCACTGAGATAAATCCCCAGCCCATGATTGTGTTTATTTATTTGGAGGGGGGATACCGGAGATCGAACTCCAGTCCTTGCACTTGCAAGGCAGGAGGCAGACCCAATCCCTGGCCCAATCATGTATTTTTAATGTGTTTTGAAAGAAAGCACCTTACAACTTTATGCTCTGGTGCTGGATATTTCTTCCCTGTTTCCCCGGTGACAAAGAAACTGTGGTCATTTGAGTGTTACACAAACCCAGGACTGGCTCCATGGGCTTTGGAAAGAGACATTTCCTGCCCCTTCCATCTTTGCTCTGCCAGTGAGCTGCTACTTGCAAGCGTCATGTGCAGGAACCTTTAAATGTGTTCAGTGTTCCGTGCAGAAATAATGCTCTGTGTATTTTGATAGCACTGAAAATTGTCATTCACGTGTTGACTTGCTGATACTTTCATAATAGACTGCATTCTGCTGCTTCCTTCCTAAATGATATCCCTATTGTGCATCTTTTTCAAAAGGTTCAAGTCCTGCACCTTCTCAGAGTCACCATTAACCAGCTCTTGAGTACATATGAGATGAAACATCAGTCTGCCTGTAAATTTAAGCAAGCTATGTCAGATGGGAGCACAGAACATCAGTGTACACCTGCATAAGTAGTGTCTACTCTGTGGCGTGAATAAATGTACCTGTGAGATGCACCTCCCTGTTCTGGGACTGTTTTGTCTGGCCGCTAGCAGACCCTTCATGTGTAGCAGCTGTCCTCAGACCTCCCTTCCCGCCTCACAGAGAGCCCTTGGGAATGAGGAGCGCACACCTTGGTTCACAGGGGTTGGTGGTCCGGGTCCAGGTTCTCACTCAGATTCTGATATTCAATAAATGTCTTTAGCAAGTGGTTCTGCTGCTGTTTCCTAGCCTCTTCAAGCCCCTGTCTTTACATTTGGAATATGAAGATGTTAATTATGTAACTTCCAACTTGGAGTTATTGTCAGGATCAATAAGGGAAGGGAAGGGAAAGCATTATTTAAGTTGTGAAATGCTTTCGAAATAAGATAGTATTAGATCACACAGGTAAAATAAGCTCTGAAAAAAATTTTTTTTCCTGGAAATCACAAGGCAAAGTAAAGTAAAAAATGCCAATTGATGTTTCTTCTAGTTAAGCCAATGAATATTGGATGAATTGTGCATAATTCTTACCTCCACATGAGACCGTTACCAAACCATACCAGTTGAACACACAAAGGATTGTAAAGCAGTGAGTGGAGTAGGAGTGAGTCTGGCTCAAAACCAAGCATTTGCAGGTCAGTGGAAGTGGAGCTGCAGAACAGAAGCAATGGCCCGGTCCCAGCATTAAAATCCTCCTTCCCCGCAACCCCCTGTGCCCACAACTGCCATGTGGAGCAAACAGGTACCATGTACTGGCGCTTGTCTGAGCCTCAGGTTCTTGCATAGGATGGGAGTGAGCCCGCCTGTGCCCTCAGCTTCGGGGTTGCTGGGCTCAGCAAAGCAGGGCAGCCTCGTGGACTCATCCAGTGCAGTCTCCCATGTCACATGCCGCTCCTGCAGTGAGACCAATCCAAGAGACCACATCTGCACCAGCTCCTCCCTGGTGCAGGCTGCAGCCTGGTTTTCTGATGTGTTCCTGTGACATGCTGGTGCCCAGGGCTGGGCTTTGGAAATGACTTATAAGGAAAACAGGCTGCAGTCCTGCCTTAACCACCACTAGAGGCCTGATGTGCACTGCTGACCCCCTCCATGAGCCCTGGACAGCAGCTCTGCCACCCAGCGTAGAGTTATTGAGGCGTGGATCTCACAGAAGAGGAAGAAAAACACTAACGTGCCAAAGGTGTCACAGTGAACACTGGGCCTGGATGTGCACGCTTGTCCAGAGGACCAGGTGGAAGGGCTTTCTGTCCCCTGAGTGCTTTCTGAAAGCTGGGTCACTGCTCTTCTGCCAGACTCCCTAAGGGTTCCCTCAGCCAAGATGGCTGGGTAGGTCAGTTCTCTGGTACAGGATTTGCCTAATCGTCAGGATCTGCTAGCCCACTTAATGGAGAAGCACCTCTAAGGTCTCCAGGTTTTGGACACAGCAGGTCATGTACTACAGGTGGCCTCTAGGTGGAACCAGAGCTCAGCCTGTGGGGTCCACTGCAGGTGAGGCGAGTGTGGGGTGAAGGACACACAGAGGCTTCAGGAAGAGGAGGGCATGGCCAGCTCAGGAGCAGTGCTACTCTCCAGTTAGCCCAGGCTGGCCTTGAACTGGGAATCCTCCTGCCTCAGCTCCTCACCTCCTGGAGGAACTGGGTTTACATGTGCATGCAACTGCATCCAACCAGATGTAGTTCTAAATGATATGTTTTAAACTAGCCTCAAGTGAGCACCTGTTCCTGCTTGTCCCTGGATATCATGCAGGGCTGTGACCTCCAGGCAGAGACCTTGGTGGGTGTGGTTCCCCCCACCCTCTGTGGGTTGTAGCTCATGCTGACAGGTCCTGAGCATAACTCACAGATCTGCACAGCACCCTGTGAGCTCACACTGCTACCAAGTTTACAGTTGGTGAAATGGAGGACAAAACAGGATAATGAGCTGGCATCAGAAGATAACTACCTGGTTAACAAAGCAGTAAGTTAACTGGCAGAGCCAAAATTCAAACCTGCCTGTCAGAATTGGGAACCGGGCTATAGTCTGACTTCAGGTACCTTTATTTGTGTCGGTCCTTGTGTTACTAAGGCCAACATGAGGCTGATTAGCACACAGTCCCTTTACTCCCAAGGTTTAGAGTCTAGAGACGTGAACAGATAATGGCAATGCTTGGCAGTACACATAGCAGTGGACATCTGTGCCAATCCATGATGGCCACACATCACACACTGGGCCTGGACACTAGATGCCCAACTCCTGCCCAGCACCCATCTCAGAGCCTTACTTAGATAAACCAGTCACAACAAGGCATCACTGGCATATACAGGGAGATCGTGCATAGACTGGAGTTAAGTGACACCAAAGAATTGCCAATGATGGTATTGTGGCCACTGAGGAAAATGTCAGCTTCAGTTATATGGATGCCATTATGAAGGTGTTAAATGATATATAGGAGGTGCTTAAAAATACATCAGCAATCTGAGAGTGGTGGTGCGCACCTGTAATCCCAGTACTCGGGAGGCTGAAGCAGGAGGACCGCCGTTGAGTTTGGGGCCAGCCTGGGCTACATAGTGAATTCAAGGCCAGCCTGACCTACACAGTGACATTGTCTCAAACAAATGAAAATAATAAAATACATCAGCAAATATTAGCAAAGCACATAGATGGGGCTGAGGAGGCTCAGTGGCAGAGCACTTTCCTAGGGTGTGCACACACTCACTCCCCAGTCCCAGCACTGCAGAAATACAGGCAACCACTGGCAGGATCAATGACAAGAGAAATGTGGTTCACTGTCGTGTGGAATCTGGGATCAGATGCATGGGAACGAGGTACACGATCCTCTACCTTGGTACAGGTCTTAACTTCCAGCAGTGAATATCTAAAAAACACAAGCAGGCCAGGGATTTAGCTCAGTGGTTCCGCTACCTGCTTCACAAGTGCAAGGTCCCAAGTACGATCCCCGGTACCCACTCCTCCAAAAAAAACAAACAAAAAACACGAGTAAAAGCAACAACGAGCCATGAGAGGGAAGCCTTTGTCAGTACTGTGATACATTTTGAGAAGCAACCACAGGTACTTGGGCAGCGATTCTGTGGCTCAGGGTTTGTTACCAAAGTGACGGAAGTCAGCTTTATGTTTGGTTCACTCTTGAATAGTGATCAAAGCACAGCCCTGGATTAAAAAAACCAGCTGAGAAGGAAGAGAATGTCAGAACACTTATTTAATTAGAAACAAAAATTTACTTTTAAAATTAAATGTACAACTCAAATGTTCATGATGTTTCTATGCTGTCATCTTGGTCTGCTTTCTTCCTTTCAAATATAATAACACATTAGTCTTTTCCTGCCATCTTTATGTTTGGAAAATATATTCTACTCCATTAAAAAAGGTCAAGCAGGGGCCAGGGATCTAGCTCAGTGGTTCCACCACCTACCTGCCTCACAAGCACAGGTTCCAAGTTCGATCCCCGGTACCAAAAAAGAAAAACAAAAACCAAAGGTCAAGCATTACAATTTGGGATACTTTCCATATACTTTTCTCAAGTCAATAATGTTTGGCTGAGAAAAAATTGAATTTGTTTCACATTAAATCAATTCAAATAATTTTTTAAAATGTGACCAATTGGTAGGTGGATGTCTTAGAATTTATCCGAAAAAAAGAGCCAAAGATTTAAAAAGCTGCCGGATGCTGAAAGCAAGCCTCAGCCCTAGCACACTTGCTGCCTAGTAGCTCCTGGGGTTCCAGGACACATTAGGGAGGTGGGCAGTAGGCAGATGGCACTGGGGTACCAGAAGAGCTAGGTTTCACCTGACAGTGAAAGAGCATTAAGGAAAGAGCGCTATTCACTTCTGGCCACCTATGTGATCCCAGGGGTTCAGGCACCTGAGAAATTCACACAGACGCAGCCAGGCTGTACCTGGGGTTACCTCATGAAAACGGGCTCACCTCACCCCTTGGCAGAAAGTGAGACATAGGCACTGACCTGTAGTATGGCACCTGCCCCCAGCCCTGCACCAAAGGCAAGGTGCAGAGAGAAGCGTAAAGGCTCATGGGCCTTGGCCAGAGACAGTGCCTGAGAGGAAGTACAAATTTCTGTTCCCATCTCAGCAAAAACACAACTTCAGTCACAATGCTGGCACTGGCATATTACAAGCATCTGGAGAACTGTTGAAAATTAGGAATGGCAATGGTAAAAGAAGAACACAGTAATGAAATTTTGAAAATTATAATAGTATCAAATATAGCATATAGTACTGCAAAAAAAGAAAAAATAATTTTAAAGATTGGGATGGACCAGTAGCTCAGGGCTCCCTGGGTTTGTTCTTCAGCACCAGATAGATAGGCAGAGAGATAGACAGATCTTTGCAGATGCCCTGTCTGTCATCATGCTACTGGTGCCCACTGCATGCTTCCCTCTGACGCACTGCACCACAGAGAGCTGCTGGGTGGAGCTGCCCCTGCCTCAGGCAGATGCCTCAGTTTCTCTGGGCCTCTGGCTTCCTGTCTCTAACATGAGGCCCCCAGAGTCACCTCCCAGCTCTGTAATTCTGTAACTCATGGATTTATGTCCAACCTAAATTCCATTATCCAAAACTGAATGGAGGGCAGGCGATTTAGCTCAGCAGTTCTGCTGCCTGCCTCACAAGTGCAAGGATCCAAATTTGATCCCGGTACCAAAAAAAAAAAAAAAGAATGAATGGAGCTGCAACTGTAGGGTGAGAGGTCATAAGTGGCAGATTTATGTAAAGGTCATGACTTTGGCTCTTTACACACCAGGCCAGCCATTGACAGTAGGCGCCCTGGTTTTTTAGTGAATTTAATTAAATAGAGGTGATTGTTACAAATGGTTTTTCAGCCAGGCGCGGTGGTGCACACCTGTAATCCCAGCTAATGGGGAGGCAGAGCCAGGCAAGTCACCAGTGTGAGGTCAGCCTGGACAGCACAGCCGATCTTGTCTCATAAAAAGTTATTTTAAAAAGTTTCACATGAATAGGCCGAGCGTGGTAGCACACACCTGTAATCCCAGCACTCGGGAGGCTGAGACAGGAGGATCACTGTGAG